CCGTTAATTTTCTGGGATAGTGCAAGTATTGATGAATATAGTTTGGTTAACAACTGAGACAAGGGTCCACAACAAGAAATTGATTCAAGATTATTTTATCTAAGGTAGGTGACTTCTGCAGGATATATGGAGAACAATGGTGCCATCGAAAGATCTGATTGCTGTAAAATGAGGAGGCTTACCCAGATCTGCTATTGTGGTTCAGCAGTAGAATCCTTGCTTACCATGTGGAAGGCCAGTGTTCAATTCTTGGGTGTGCATATAATTATAGCTATTGAGACACTGAATGTCCTGACTCAGTCTGGCCTTGGAGTCTGTCTCCAGGTCTGGGCAGCCTTCACTCTTCCATCCTTCTGCCTAGGTATATGTGTTGAAGGTCCTGGTGACCTCTCTTGCTTACACCATAATCCAGAAGAATTGATGGTAGCCTACTTAATATGTCTCAGCAATGTTCTTTCTGCCTGAGTGTTTGGAGAGCATTGGCTGCCATTTATTTTTATATGTTCTGCAGCTAGCTGTTGCAGCAAAGATACTGGCCTAAATTCTGAACATATTTGAATAGGTAGATCTGGAGCAACAGCACTAGAGTTGAAGGAGTTATTTTGGATTTAAACCAGCTTGTAACCAAGTTCAGAATAAGGCCAAACAATAATCTGAGTCTTTCAGTGAGACGGCTGAGGGACGAAGTAACCACTTTGTACGAGGAATGACAGAGTCTGGTTCTGAGGTGGTATTAGAGATAATGGGCTACACCCTTCATTGGTGTTAAGGACACAGCCTCACTGATTTCACCTGAGCCATGCCATTTTGCACCATCTGAGAATCTACTGCATTATATAGCAAGATATATAGGACTACAGGCATTGAACATCAAGCAAGGAAAGCTATAAAATATCAAGCTTGAAAAACTGCATCTCTGAATTTGAAAAGTAGTAGTCAAAAGCAGCTTTTTGGTGGAAGAGTTCACCAAAAATGGGAGTGAAGGGTGGAGAGTTGTAATGATTATAGATAGATAAGAAAAGGTTCCTGGAATATAGGAACTATAAGGGAGCTAGGAAATGAGAGGGTTTTTTTCTTGTTTCTTCATCTTTATCTTTTACAAAAACAGTGATAAGGAACAACTCACACTGGTAAGGAATAAAACCACTCAAATATGATTTCCATTAAGTTAAAACTCAAGGTAATTAGAGTTTTGAGAAACATGACATATGAAAGAATGGGGATTATTTAATTTGGTGAAGAGAACATTGGAAGGACGGATTTGATAACAGTCTTCAAGTATGTGAAGGGTGCTTATACAGAAGATGATGACAGTGTTCTCTGTGTCCACAGGGGACAAGACAAAGAGCAATGGTCTTAAACTGCAGCAAAGAGACATTTAGGTTGGATATTAGGAAGACCTTTTTTTAAGTATGATGGTGGTTAAGCATTGGAAGCATCCTAGAAGGGTTATGGGACCTCCATCCTTAGGACTTTTTAAAAGCAGGTGAGAAAAACATTTATCTAGGATAGTTTAGACAGGCATGATCCTGCCTTCAGTAGAATTGCACTAGGTGACCTCCTGGGGTCCTTTCAGCTTTACTTTTCTTTGATTCTAAGGTCTTTGCTTATTTGTATGAGTACTTTAATGGTGCAATTCTCACTGCTGTGTGGGTTTGTTTTTTTTTAATTGGGCATTTTTATGGACACTTGGATCTATTTACAGGGTTACATATACAACTACTTTTTTACATAAAAGTTCAGCACGTGTTCTCATAAAATACAATTAAGGCCTCAACTTTTTAAAATCTAGATCTCTGTAATTTCATAAAGAACAACTAGTGAGAGTCCACAAGAAGTGCAGGATGGATACTTTTATTTAATTGCTTGTACTGGGATAAAGAACTTGTCAAAAACTGGAATGGATTTGCCACTGTTATTCTTGTTTCTAATCCAGTTGTGCCTGGAAGTGCCAGCTGAGATCAGAGTAGGTCCCATAAAAACACAAAATGGGGGGCAGTCCTTGATCTAAAGAGCTTGTAATCTAAATAGATAGGACAAAGGGCAAGTGATAAGAATTAGGTTTGTCTCTGAATGTTAATTTAGACTAAGGTAAGGTGTAAATGTAAGATGCAAGAGCTATGCCTGCCTGAATCACCCGGTGTATGGACAGTCTTATTTAGGAATAAGCATAAATTGTTCATGTTTATCTTAATAAACCAAAATACTGGTATATTTACACACACAGTTTTTTGGGGGCAGGCATTC